AGAGAGAAGGAGACAGGAGAGGAAGAAACTAGAGAGAAAGGAGGGGGAGAGGAAGTTGCCTAAGCCAGTGCGCCCCCCTGGCGCACAATAAATTAAACGGAAAAGCATCATTCTATGAAAACACAATTTCCGCTACGCTAAAAGATGTTCTAAGCGCGTTAGGTCCATTTGCGGCGTCTAGTCTGGCTGCAAAGCCCCGTCAGGCCAACAGGGTGTGTGTGCTGACCAGGCTGGTGGGGAAAAGGGGAAGGGGGTAAGGGGTGGGGGCTGAAAGAGAGAGGGTAAAGGCGAGGGGCGACGGGAGTGGTGGGTAGGGACGAAGATAAGTGAATGTGCGAGCTAGTGTGTGTGTATGTGTGTGAGTGTGTGCGTGTGTTCAAATGAAGTACTCTGCCACAGTAAGTGGCTTTAAGGTAATTGCTGGGAAGCATTTAAATTGAGGCGCGTTTTTGGCTCTTCGTTGCTTTGTAAACTGTTCACTCTCAGTATTAACCGTGTATTCAAACACAAAACTTTTACCCAAGAGGATTTCTTTCTCCCATGAAATTCGTCTTCCTCTTACACTAACATGCTTGGTACTACTTGTGCTGGGAAAACTAAGTGCCTAATCAGAGTGCAAAGGATGTTTTGAGGATTGCGATAAGCTGCTAAATTTAGCGCCCTTTGAATAATAATATTTATGTCTTTTGTGGACACTTAACCATTAGCACCTTTAAAATGTGCTGATTGGCACCTTTGTTTTTACAGTGAGCTATAACCGAGGCTTCCGCTCAGAGGTCGTGTCAGCCCCAATTAGTCTCCGGCTGAAAAGCCTCGTGATAATCCCCACTGCTCCTTATGCAGCACCATCAACGTAATAAGTCCCTCAAAGGCTCGCCCAAAGAGTTTACATCATTTTCCCCGGCTAAATGCCCTCTCTAATGTCATGATTATAATGCAGAAATACGGGAGAGTTTTTTCAGTCTTCCGCCACCACCGCTGCTGCCTTGGTCGAGCTGACCCTATCCCTCCCCTCAGCGCCGCAGGCCAGGGCCCTAGCGCACCCCCTTACACCCCAGCGGTACCTCCTCGCCTGCCCTCTATTCTGTAATTTGAAAATTGCACGCTTCGTCTCGAATAATGTGTATTATAAAGAACTGTTCCTGACCCTCTCCCACAGACTCTACGTACGAGGGCTACCCACAGGCCATCCACGACGACCACTTCCACACCTACCGCCGAAAGCAGCGACGCAACCGAACTACCTTCAGTGCTGAACAGGTAAGAGCCAAGCAAACTGAAAACATTAGCAACTGTCGTAATGAGTGCACTGGAAAAATACAAAGGCATTGACATTGTACTACAGTCAGTTCTTGACTTAAAACGATGATTGTCACCCTTACCACTTCGGGAAGATCGCCGAGAGGCGCCCCCCGGGCCGGTGGCCAGCAAAGGGATTAGTTAAACCTTTGGAATTGGATGAAGACGAGACCTTTCGCCTACTCAGTTAAAAGACTGTTCTGCCTCAGAACGCGTTAATTCTCTTCATTGACAACAAGTCTGGCCCTCAACGAGTTATATAAATACTCAAGAAGTGCGAAGTATTCGTTCGTGTAATCGATTCCTTCAAGGCGTTACACAAATCCAAACGCTCACACGAGGCCCCCGCATCTCTTTCTGTCGTTTTTCCAGTGCATTGTAGGAAGCTTGCGTCCATAATAAAATTTACATACAAGCTTAAAAAATATCCTATTTTTGTTCACTTATTGCTTATAAGGTGACTTATCGCGCCCTTGTTTTTCCCTCCCCAAAGCTCAAGGAGCTGGAGCGTGCCTTCACCATGACCCACTACCCGGACGTGTTCGTGCGCGAGGCACTCGCCAACAAGATCAACCTGACGGAGGCCAGAGTGCAGGTGAGTGACGTCACTTCCGAGGCCGTCCGGCTGGCTGGGGCTGGGGGACGGGCTGCGGGCCGGGCAGGGGCTAGGGCTGGCCGCACGCCACATCAACCAGTAACTCAATAAGCCCAGCCTCCACCCGGCCAGCCGAGGAGCGCCGCGGAGAGGGAGGGGTACTTTGCACCTACACCTAGTTATGACGGCGCATCATTTAATCATGCAGGGGGGGGGAGGGGCGCTACTCCTTGCGGGCGGGGCCCCGCCGCGTGCACACACCCGCGCTAAGACCCCGGGACCGAAACTTGCGTCGAACTAACGCCGCCCGCCGAATCACTGGTCGGAATCACTTGGTCACAAAGTACTTCCGGGTTCGGCCTAAAGCAACATAATTTTCATCAAACTCGAAAGCATTCAAATTTGACCCTGCGTCACAAATTGGGGTTAATTAACCTCTTAATTAATTTATTTGTACACACATTTCTCGCTCGTGCGTAAGACAGTATCTCCACCTATGCCAATCGTATGTAATGAGAATTGTGTTGGACGCACGACGCACTGACCTGGTGGATGGGCGGGCCCGGCAGCCAGCTGGGTTGCATTGAACAAGCGGCCCAGGGCGGTCTCCACGGGGGTGCACGGCCCGTGGTGGATCACGGAGAGGCCTAGCGGGAGACAAAATTATCAGAGTTGGATGTTTCACTGCACTGTGAAAAACATCTCTGAAAATGAACAAGTCATGTGCGGCTGTACAATGTACAGTGTACATCGTGGGGGTTGATAAAACCTAAAAGGCTTTGCTTGACCACACACGGTAGTGGTCTAGACTCGGGTCTAGAGGTCCCGCCGCACTGGACGCCTTAACAATACATCTTCGTAATCAAGGATTTACAAGCAGCCTTGTAAATTTACAGCAACTTATTCTTACTCGGAGATAAATACAGAATCAAAACATAATGTTGTAACAGAAATACAATTTTAAATTTAACTTTCCAACATTTTCTCATAGCTAATTTCCCCATTTAAAACTAAAAATACGTTTCACAGTGTTGTGTTGCCTTCAAACTACCATTTGATGAAATGTTTACTTACCGGAAACTGCAGCGCAGAGCAGGAGGCACTGGCTATCATAAGTGTGGTGGTCCGATCCGCACACTTTGGAGGCGGGTATAGGCGGGCACGGGCAGGACAGGGCGAGCGGCAACAGCACCAGCAGAACTACGGCAGCCAGCATCGCACCCTGCTGCGCCATCATGCTGGAAGATGACTACCTGTTGATCAAATACTACCTCGGGGTGAACGTCATAGGCCGAGGGTGTTGTGGTCGGTTGGGCTGGCTGCCCACAACTGATCGCAACACGCCTGCCACATTTGCTGATAAGGCCGTGTCTCGACTCTGTCCGAGCGCCTCTTGGTGACCCCGGGACAAAAGGGTGGGGGATATTGCAATAATAAAGCAGCAGCAACGGCTTCTGTCTTCGTGGAGCTATGCACTGTTAAATATTCAAGCATGGATACGACAAACTTTCATACAACCTTCCCGTTCAAGACCAATGATTATTTGTTTTCATAAAGAACGATTCAAATTTGTAACGAGAGAGTACTATCCTTATACAAACATGTTGTCATGTTGAGATGTCGTGTCAATCCAAGAAAGTTTGTTTCCTGATTTTACAAAAAAGACCTTTCTCTGTATGAGTGTGTAGAAACAAAAAATGCCGTTTAAAGGAGAAAGGCTCGTTTAACGATTGACTTTTTTGCTTTAACATAAAATTTGATGATTGAACCATAACTTCATCGTTCTGTTACGACATTTTGTTTGATGATAAGGCCGTAATTCTTTTCCGTGTATCAACGAGGTGTTTGTTTTGAAAATCATTTTATATTGTGCGTTCGTGTGTAACTTCCTCGTTCAGTTACGACATTTTGTTTGATGACAGGGGCGTAGTTATTTTGTCGTACCCCAATTAGTTGTGTGTTTTGAAACGATAAAGGGCTGATGGTATACTTGTTTACCTACAATGCTGGTACTCCAAAAAAAAAAATTAACAAGAAATTTGTCGTTTCCATAAAACAGTTTTTTTGCAGTGTTACTGTGTCGCCTGGCCAGATCGCGACCCACTTGACTTACCTCTCCGACCCCCACTGTGCGTCTTCTATAACGCCCGTCCAAAACCGACCTTGCAACCTTTGAGCTTGACACGTTACCATTAGCGCGTTCAAAGCGGGATACGCACAATGTGGCCACGCGTTCCTGGTTTCTTCAACCCCAACTTTGCACAGCCACTGAACACTGAACGTGTTAACGAGTCAGTTTACTGGTCAACACGTAAGAGAAATGTCGATTGAAGAAAGAACTTATACCTGATAGATCAAATTATTGATATATCACTTTCCTTAAAATTCGTCTATTTTGAATTAGAAGAAAATAACGAAGGTGCTGTAGCTGTAATCACATTCACTACATGCGTATATCTGCGAATTTCCGAGATTTCCAGCTGTTAGTCAAAACACAACAAATAATTTTAAATCAAAATTTTACAAACAAATAGGAAAACTCGGTTGAGTCGTATCTAGAAAATTGGGCCTGTGCTGCCGGGTATGGATCATTTACAATTCGATCAGTGTTCTATACACGGGCAAAACACAACCTTCGCCCCGAATCCTTTCACTGCGGTGGAGCGGGGCAAGAGGAGGGGGTGCGAGAGAGACAGAGCAGCGGCAGCAACCCCTCCGGAGAGCTGCAGAGCGGAGGGACGGCAGAGAAAACCATGAAAAGGGAATTTGTGAGAAGTGTCGGAATCCGAAATAGATACTCGATTTGGTGGGAGCCACTCCGGGCCGGTCGCGGGCGGGAGGTTGGGCCCGGGGGAAGAGGATGCGTGCGCGCGTGGGTGTATGTGTGTAAGAGAGAGGGAGGGGGTGGGGGGGTGAGGGGGCTTTGGCAGGGCTCTGGTGAGGCATGGTCTGGAACCTGCATGGCGGGACCTTGGAGGGGATGCCGGGCCGCCGAACAGCCGATGCCTTCAAAAGGAGGCAACAAGCCATTCGATAAAATCCAATCACCGGAAAGTGGGTAACGCCCGCCGCCCGAACCAGCCGTCCCCAAGGCAACCAACATCAGAGAAAACATGCGAACTGGGTGCGGTTATATGTAGGACAAATTTTGTAAATAGCAAATTACCAAATATGTCGTAGAAGTACAAACATTTTTTAGCCCGCCCTTCTGCTTTGAAAAAGCTATCCAGCGGGCTTATGCAAACGACCTCGTGTTTGTCTGTCTGTCTGTCTGTTCCACCAGAAGGAGATGTGCTAGAGACTTGAAATTTTCAGGGTATCTTAAGGTTCACTCCTAGAAAACGAAACGCCTACGGCAAATCCTGGCAACCAACCCTAAGGGGCTGAAACGGGGTATCAAAGAAAAGAGGGTAGGTCAAAGAAGTTTAAAAAAAATATTTTTTTATGATCTCCTAAGGGTAACTCGTGAAAGTAGAACCCTTTGGGCTAAAATTTGGTCCGTTTGGCTCTATCTCTCAAGCAGGCCCGGCCCCTGCCGAACGGAGTTGCCGGCGCAGCGAAGCGGAGCTGGCAACTCCGTTTGGCGGAAGGGCGGGCCTGCTTGTTCCAAAGTGAGGGCGACCTATTTACTCCTATACCTGACCAAGATATCGAGGTCAACTTTTCCTCAGTTTTCTGATACTGTCTGCGTGCGACATCGATATCAATCAGAATCTTGACAAAAAAATACATCTCTTCACCGAACCAAGTAACGATAGGGGTGCCCCTGGTGGTCGTGCATACTTTCCCGGCGTGCATGGAGTGGAGAGGTCGCCTCTTAAACAGTTGTATCGAACCTTGTCGTCGTCGTTGTTGTTCCCACAGTGCAGCGTGCAGCAGGTCGTGGGGACGGGCGAGCGAGCGAGCGAGCGAAAGAGAGAGGCACAAAGAAGGGATAAAAGTGAAGGGGACGGGGAGCGAATTGCATTGTGCCTCTCTTGTGCTTCGCTAATTGGGGAGCATAATTCAAGCACCCATTCCACAATCTCCGTGTGGCGCGGCGGGGCGTGCCATGGCGCCCCCGAGAGCGCAGGCGGTATGAGAAAACAGCGAGCCACACCGCACGTAAAAGGGATTCCACCCCCCCACCCCGACCCACACCCCCGCCGCCTCGAGCCAAGACAGCAGAGCGCTACACTCCTCGTACCTTGTCACATTACGTCACATTTCAGTTAACGTTTTTCCACTTTTCAATTTGCCGAGCTGACGGTGGGGCAGAGGGGCGGCGTAAGGCGCAGGGAACGCGGGCTGGTCTGCCGCCGAGGAACCGAGCGGAGCACAGTGCACGCGGGGGCCCCACCGGCCCGGCTCCAACGTCGTCAGATCGTGCCTCCCTAACTGAATTCTCCCTATTCCCCTCGAGGAGAGGAATATATACTGAATATACTCACGTAAGGCTGCCCCACTTCTTCTCCCTGCGTCAAATCACGGAGCGTACAAGGACGCGTCCAGTCGCGCAACACTTACGCGTTATTGGTTCGGACACGGACCCTCCACCCCAGGCTGTTTTCAGTGAAAGATCTCCCGTTTCAGCCGCCGCTGGTGGGCCTCGGCCTCCCGCGTCGCGTCGTGTGCCGCCGTGTCGGTGTCGGACGCCACTCCGCGACGCGTGGCGGGCACGCGCCGGCACGCGCAGCTCTAGGGTGAGAGACAGGGACAGGGAGACGACCCCCCCTGTGCGTTTACAGGCCTTTAATGAGTTGGGACGCGACTTCTCATATAGTGCGCTGCTGCACGACTTTATTGCGGCAATTTCCGACGAAAATAATCCAGCGGTGATGAGGAAGAGTTTTCCCCCGCGACGACGTCACGAGAGGACGCGGCCAGCACTCCTTTGTGAGGCACCCCCTCGTCCTGCCCTACCCGCGTGCGTATCGGCCTCCGCAGATCTAGAGTGCCAGAGGACATCGCCGTGCCCCACTCACCTTGTAAACAAGCGTTAAATATGTTCCCAGCGGTTCGCTCGTCTCGGCAGTCTGACCGTGTGCAAAGCGTATGAATGTTAATCATTGTCTGGTTAAGATGTCGCCAAGGCGAGCCATACGCCGAGCCTCGACGGCAGACAATAGCGAGCTCCGCATTAAATATGTAGTGTACTCGAAATCGCATTATCACCCTATTCGCCGAGGGGAGAGGACCAGAGGGAAGGAGGCCAGGCCAGGCTGGCCAAGCCCCGGAGAGGGTATGGTATACCAGAGCGGGAGGAGGGGGTGAGGGTGAGAGAGAGAAAAGAGGGGGATGAGGCTTGTCACAACCTAATGACGATAAATTTACTCACAGTTTCAATCTTGGTTGGATTCCAGTCGGATATCCCCCTCGTTATATGAGAGGGAGAGCTACTTTAAAAAAAATTGAGAGTGTCCTCAGGAATCACCCTCGGGGCCTGTGGTAAGCCCCCCGCGCCCTATTCGCCTAGGCGCCGCGCCCCTGCCCGCCAGGCCGGGGGCCGGGCCAGGACAAATGTTGTGGATGGGCGGTCGCCGGGTGGGGCGGTGTGGGGTGTAGGGGCACCTAGGAGCACCCCGCCATATATCCAGCGCATCCTCAAACGGATTACAGTCCACAGCCGCGGTCTGTTTTTCTTCGCTTACTCTAATCACCGCTAGAGCTCAACCAAGCCGCTCGCCACCCGACCAGATTTCTCATACTTGAGTTTACGATAATTTGCTCTTCCAGCAGAGATAGTGAAAAATACCGATAATACGTCATCAAATAATCGCTCACTTTATGTAGATTTACAAGATAATTATTTAAAACTATCTGGATGACAGTAGGTTTCGTACTCCACAAACGGAGAGAAAATGGACCTTAGCTAATTGACTTATTAAGCTGGCCAGTTTTGCATCAACGCAAAAATGCAGTTGAATGAACAAAGATTGATATGTACGGCTTTACAGTATATTAGCTAGCCTATAAAAATAGGAAAATTTGCGAAACATTTGGACCATTTCGCCTATTTTGATCAATTATTTTATCCGATGCTAGTAAGAACTGGCTGGGCTCCAAATATGCTCCAGAAAGTTGGGGAGGAGATTGCAGTCGCGGCCACGGCTGCAAGTAAAGGCTCTGCGATCGCACCAAAAAACACAAAATAAAAGGGATTTAAAGGCCGCATGTATCGAGAGCGTAAAGCGGGCATCTGTTGGTGGGGGATTAGCTGCGGCTGGTGCGCGGGACGGCCCGCGGCTGCAGCCCGACAGGCTCCCCTCCCTGCTGCACCGCTGCACTGCGCCACCTCCCACCGGGCGGACCGTGTTTATCGAGAGACCGCAACTATCACAATCACAATAATTGGCGAGGCTAACAATCACACTCCGTGCAACAAGCTCCGCGGGAGGGGAGAAGGGGGGCTCAGCGACAAATCGCGCGCTAAATTAGGGTGTCACTCCGTGATAACGAGCCGCTGATCCGCGACAAATGAAGCGGAGGTGGTCACCGCGCCGCGGCACCATCTGCGGGGCACGCCGCCACGCCACGCCAAGCCGCGGCGGGGGTTTGTTGATCGCACGGCTTGTGTGCGCTAAACGGCCGTATTCATTCGCTGGCCGGGAGCCCTTGAGGCACTCGTCCGTGTGTGTATGTGTGTGTGTGCGCGCTCGAAACAAAAGCCGCACGAGTGGCCGGACAGTATTTGTGTATGTTGCGAGCAGTGCGTGCGTGAGATCATTCGCATGAAGCTGCCTGCGTGTTTGCACAAAGGCCGCAACGTGCACTAAACACACACCATGCGAATAAAGCCGCGCCAATCTTCAGAAGTGCATTATTGCCACGCAACATTAGCAGAGAGAGGGGGGGAAAGGGGGAGGGGGGAAGGGAGGGGTGGGGGGGAGGGGAGAGAGAGATATTTTTGATTTATTGAGCATACTCAAAAAGGGCTGTAGATGAGCCCCACTACATGAGCACCCGCTCTCTAATAATACATAAATTTAATGCTTAAAACTAACTTAACTACAAGATAGAGTACAGAACACGAACAAGTGTGAGAGAGAGAGAGAGAGAGAGAGAGAGAGAGAGAGAGAGAGAGAGTTTACTAGTGTATGTAAACACTCTCTCTCTCTCTCTCTCACGGAAAAAAAGAATTAGCTAAATAAGCTAATGCATTCGCTAATGTGGCCTTAGATTAGAATATTAGCTTTCCTAGCTAATTCCCAGCTAGGATAGCTAAAATATTAGCTTTCACAGCTAGTTGCTTTATTTTGTAGACAACTGTCATGGCTAATTTATTAGCTCTTCTAGCTAAGAACCAGCTCGGAGAGCTAATATTCTGATCTAAGGCCATATTAGCGAATGCATTAGCTAATTTAGCTAATTCTTTTTTTTTTCGTGAGAGAGAGAGAGAGTGTTTACACACACTATTAAACCCACGTATGGGATTGACGAAGGTTTTCTTGTTAAAACCACTTGTTTAAAAGGCGAATAACATACCAATCACTAGCCGCTCACGTTACAACAGAGTCCGTCCATCGCCCGTCTCGCCGTCTGTCCAGACGGGCACCGTATCAAAATGTTTGGATTGCCCTGGGCATAGGGGCGGGGCTGCCCCCCCCCCCCTCTCCGGAAGATTCGAAGCACATGCGCAAACCCACACGAGCCTATATTTACTTAACTAGATCGCAAAGATGGAAAACGCAAGACTTTGCGTGGATGTTGTGTGCGTCACGAAAGCTGCTGCTTTTGGTGTGAGGGTCTTCCGAAATTTCATGCAAACAAAACGTAGATTTAACACAGCGGGAGCCCACAACAGGACATTCTATCCATCAAGTGACAAACATGGCACCCCCCTTCCTCCCCTCTGGCCCGAGGTGACAGAGAGACATCGTCACACATGCATGAGCTCCTCAATCTTGTTGCTTTGTGGGATTCACGGCGGGGGTGGCGGGGCAAGGGGGCCGGCCGGGCTCCAACTAACAAACGAGGTTCGGGGGCGGCTCGGCTGCTGGCGCGGGCGGGCGGGCGCCACAGCGTAACGTAAGCGGGCTCGGCCCATGGCCACACCTGGTTGGGCTCTTCGCATTACCTTTTAATTTAAAAGTATTACTTTTGTAAAAATAATTGATTGCATCATGTATAACGCACTGAGTATTTAAATACAAGGAATCAAAATGCAACTATTTCCGCAAGAAGCACAGGTAAGTTTCACCCTCAAAGAATCAAAGCATAAATAAATATACGACGGTAGGGAATGCATAAGGGGTATGTTTCCCCGAAGCGCTGAATAAATAACCGTTGCATCCAGCACGTTAAAACGACAGATTTTTACACCGTTGCGAGGAAAACTTCTCTGCCAACAATGACCCCTCTCCATTCTTGTCGTTTTGTTGGAATGCGCGCAACGAGGAGTAGGAACGTCGGAACCGAGTCAAGCCAGTGCACTGGCGCAGCCGGCGCCCTGTGCAATTTTGACAGCTCCTCCTCGGGAGGCCCTCTTTGCTCCGAGCTTTGCTCTCCGTGACGGGGTCGGCGCGCCCCCCGCCCCATCGACACGGGGCTGCTCGCTAACGAGCTAGACTCGACGCGAGGCCATAGCGCGCCTGGCGCTTGGCCTGGGAGGAAATAGGCTTAAACTGCGGGGGCTGTTTTAAAAACACCATAGAACTTTGTTAAAGTCGGACAGAACTTGGACTGTACCTCAACTGAGTTTCAGCAGCTCTTCGCGATGAATTTTGATGAACTTCGATGAACTAGGGCCGGAGCAAGTTGTTCATACACTTGAACTGCAGTGTGTGTACATGCATGATCGCCTGTGACACGGGCACGGGTATTACAGAGTGACACTCCCGTGGGTGAACGCACCCCTCTTTCCAGCCTCTACCGGCCCCTAATAGCCGCCCCTTTGCCCCTCCCGGGCGCACGGTCTGCACGGTGCATGCACAACAATGGAATCTTCACGGCTTCCGACGATCACTCGAGTTTAACAAACAGCAAACAGCAGTGGAGACTTAAAGCCCTCTCTAATCGCACATTTGTGTTTGCTTCTCCTTAGGCAGGGTGAGGAAGGGCGACGGCAAAGGAATAGGCAGCGAGGGTGACAATGGGGACTCTATTTCTGCTTCTAATTGGCCGGCTCGGACGGGACGCGAGGAGCAGTGGGGGGAGGGGAGAGGGTGTCGTCGAGAAGAGTGTTTTGTTTGAATCACGCCCGAAACAAAATTCCAAACGAATGGAGGCCGGAGCTCCCCACCTAGACCAGCGCTCCGCGCCCCCCTGCCCTGCAGCCACATGTCGCGCCTCCCCCTCCCCCATCGCGTCGTCTGCTTTCGCAATTCGTTGTGCGGAGACTCATTTCCACGCCTAATTGGATCTCTACTCGTCGCCGGCGCCCCGAGCGAGTCAAAGAATCCACCGCGCGCCGTGACTCGAGGGCCGGGGCCGGCAGGGGCGGCCAGAGCCGAGGCCTGGCCTGAGCCGAGGTTCACAAAGTTCCAGGGCTTTCGCCGTACCTCACGTCGGCAGTGTGCTCCTTGGAGGGCCGTTACAAGAATCAGTTCAGAGCTCAAGAGTCTGCTGCTTTCTGCAGCGCCCGAGCCGCCTGGTCCGGTCGCCTATGTTGGCGAGTCAGCTGGTCGTTTGCCTCATTTGTTCCGGAATACAGAATTAAAATAGCAGTGGATTTGGGGCCGCGGCGCGGCCTGGAGTGGTCTTCACTCCTGCAGCGTGCTTCGTCCCCTCCCGCACCGGCGGCGCGCTGCCTCAGGGTATGCGCTAATAAGACAACTAGGATTGTGGAGGGGCCTTGCCTTGCCGAGGCACCAGCTCCTAGACGGAGCCTCGGTCCCAGCAGATGTGGTCAACACCCTACTTCTTTTCTTTTCAAAAAATAACGTAAAAATATTTTCATACGTTTTGTTCTTTGTTCGCAGGTGTGGTTCCAAAACCGGAGAGCAAAGTTTCGCAAAAACGAAAAAGTAAAAGATGCGCTCCGCCGAGAAGAAAATCAGGATGGGAAGGACGACCAGAAAGACGATAAGGTGAGTCCCAATAACGCGCCCGCCTGTGTCTGTTGAAACAAAGAAAAACTGCCAGCAGCCTCCGGCTCGCCAAGCGGGTGCGCGCGTGGACTAAAGTGACATTTGCTTGCTGCTGCGCGCCTCGCATACATTCCCAATTCCTCTTCGCCATATACAGAAAAGAACAACCTTGTTGGAGCGCAGGGCGGGAGCATAAAGCGCTTTACGGTGCCTGCGAGATAGGCAACCCAGCCGCCTATCAAATTTGAATGGCAAATGCAACAATAAAACACACCGTTTGAAGCGAGCTCTCCTTCCTGTTGTTGTGTCGCTGTTTTTCTTTCCGCTGAGCCCGGTGCATTATGTATGCTCGCGCCTCGGTCGTCGCAGCGGCGGTGGCGCGCGCGCACGGAGCCGTGCAGGCGCTCTTATTACAGTTAAGGTCCCTTTTAACGGCACTTGAGGCTCCTCCCTCAAAAAAGGAAATCACAAGAGAGTAACGTGTTGTTGCCTCGTGCAGATGATGGAGGTAGACGGCGAGCGCGGCAGCGTGGCGGGGGACTCGGAGGCGGCCGAGGACGCGTGCGACGCAGGCGCCGAGGCCGGCGCGGACGGCGGGACCCCGCTGCCGCCACCCGACAGCAGCTCGTCCCCGAATAGCGCCCAGGGCCACGATCGGGGCCACGACGTCACCGAGGTGCAGGTGCGCGTTGACACCCGGGTGCGGCCCGTAGTCGTGGACGACCACCAGGAGCACAGCCAGGACCACGACGTCACCGCCAGGCGATCGCGGAGCGCGAGGTCAGCATCACCTATGACTCCCTTTGCACTGCTATCGACGAGAACCATCCCTGCTAAAGCCGACGACTGCTTGCCTGTCCTCTGCAGCCGATCTCCGGAGCCGATCCGAGCCGCCAGCACTCCCGGCGAGGCAGAGGCCAGCACCAGCCCGTCGACGGCCTCCGCCGAGCCCCGGGGACACCCAGAGCATGCGCCCGAGGCCCCCGCGCATACGCCGTCCAGGTCGCCGCACAGCTTCCACCACTTATTCCATAGCTTCCCAGAGAGGTGAGTGCACACGCAGCCGAAGGC